CATGGGAAACACGTTAATTATATGAAGTAACTGCCAGTCTAGAAGAGTCAAGGAATTATGAATTCTCCTTTCCTCCCATTTTTTTCATGAATTTTGGAGCGAATGATCAATAAAAATACTTTTGAAGATTTAGGTATCTGCAGAACAGCCTAAAAAAGCAACCAAAAACGGGTAAATTCTTGAAAATCTTTACCTTCCTTGCAAGCACAGAGAAGCAGTAACTGCAACACTGACAATTTCTATTCTACCATAGACCAAACTAAAAGTTTTAATTTTAATTTATTCAATGTTTAACTCCAAACTGACTCTGGGCATGTAAATAAAGCCAACAGACTAAAAACAGAATAAAATAATTATGAAAAATCAATAAACCTTTGCCACCATTTTCGCTCACCTGGCTGTTTGGGGTCATATTGTTCTGAAACTGTAAAGCAAAGGAAAGCTAAAGTAAAACCACTTCTGCTGACTGCTGGTTGCCAGCAGTTTGGCAGTTTGATTCTCACCGGCTCAAGGTTGATGCAGCCTTCCATTCTTCCGAGGTCGGTAAAATGAGGACACAGATTGTTGGGAAGCAATATGCTGACTCTGTAAACCGCTTAGAGAGGGTTGTAAAGCACTGTGAAGCAGTATATAAGTGTTATTGCTATTGCTTCACTTGACCACCAAGTTGATAATCCCAATTATGGCTGCTAAGCAAGAACTACTTGTATTTATGCAACTGTATCAGAGGAGACAGAGCACATTTCAGTTTGCTCTCTGACCCAACTGAACATCTTTATTGCATTAAACCTAAAGTCTAAGCACATCATAGATTTTCTTAGTGATTGCCAGTTTCAATTGTGGTTGCTAAACAAGAATTACCTATGGAGAGGAAACAGGATTCAATAATTTCAAAATACTGGGCACTGTGATATTTGTATCATAGTTATTTTGTATTGTCATAGCATTTAATTTGCCTTTAGTGTTCCCATGTTCGGCTTCTTTTCATGTTGGTAAAAAGCATAGGCATTGGGTTTATTTTTTTCAATTTTAACAGATTAGAATTGCATTCAGATGCATTTATTCTCCCTAAGTAAAAGCAAGAGAGTGTTACTACATCAATGACTTGATACCCAGAATTCAGTGCTATACTTGATTAGGTAATCAAAAACAGATCTGGATCTCAAGATAAACCTATTCTTTTTTTTTTTAATTGAAAATTTTTAAAAGTTTTACAATATAACTCCCCACCTCCCTCCAACCCCACCCTTCCCCACCCCCTTTCCTTCCCCCCGACTTCCCAGAGCTACACACAGGGTTTACAATACAATAATTATACTCTGTCTTAAATTATATTACCCTTAAGTTAACAATTCTATAACATCCTTTAGCTCTCTCCTAAACTAACATGTTAAACATCATTATTACAAATTATTTAATTTTAATAAAATACACTACATTAACAATCACAAATTTACTCAAAAACCAAATGAAACTTTTTGGTTCCATATTTATTCTCAATATAATCTATCCATCTTCTCCAAACCAATATATATCTTTCTTGTGGATAATCCTTCACATNCCCCCCGACTTCCCAGAGCTACACACAGGGTTTACAATGCAATAATTATACTCTGTCTTAAATTATATTACCCTTAAGTTAACAATTCTATAACATCCTTTAGCTCTCTCCTAAACTAACATGTTAAACATCATTATTACAATTTTTTAAATTTTAATAAAATACACTACATTAACAATCACAAATTTACTCAAAAACCAAATGAAACTTTTTAGTTCCATATTTATTCTCAATATAATCTATCCATCTTCTCCAAACCAATATATATCTTTCTTGTGGATAATCCTTCACATAGGCTGAAATCTTAGCCATTTCTGCTAAATTTGAAACTTTAATACCCAATCTTCTATAGTGGGCAAACAATCCGTTTTCCAACATTGAGCTACTAATAATCTCGCAGCAGTTATCAAATTCAGCATCAATTCCATTTCTTTTTATCCAAATTTTCCATAATACCCAACAAAAATAGCTGAGGCTTAAACTTTATCTTTTTCTTAAAGACATTTTGAATATTCCACCAAATCTTTATCCAAAATGCTTTAACCACCCTGCAAGTCCACCACACATGAAAATAAGTTGCATCTAAATTTCCACATCTCCAACACTTAGGTTGTAAATTAGAATACATACGAGACAATTTTTGAGGATCAAGATGCCACCTATAAAACATTTTATAAAAATTTTCTCTTAAATTCTGTGCTTGAGTAAATTTTACATTCCTAATCCAAATTGTCTCCCATGTCTCCAATAAGATTGGCTCTTCTATATTTTGAGCCCATTTTATCATACAATCCTTCACCAATTCTGTTTCCGAATCCAATTCAACCAATACACCATAAATTCTTTTTATATGAGCTTGAGATTGATCTCTAATCTGTTTAATCAAATTCACATCCTGTACTGTAATACCAACTTTTTGATCCAAACACCACCTCATAGACAATTGGCTATGGTAAAACCATGAGTATTCAATATTCTCTTGTTTCAGATCTCCCAGAGATTTAAGTTGCCAATCTTGTCCTACCGGCAAAAGTAATTCTTTGTATGAGACTTTATCCAATTTAACTCCCCTAGATATCCCCTCTATCATCTGTCCTGGACTTGTCCAGATCGGAATCTTATAATTTAATCCATAATAATACTTCTTCCAAACTCGAAGTAAAG